TTAGATAAGGAAAGACAGGGAGGCCATGATAGCTGTCTTCCAGAATTTGAAAGGTTATTGTGTGGAGGAAGGATTAGATTTGTTCTGTTTGGTCCCAGATGCTTAATGTTAGGCAAAACTTCTTAACAATTAGGTTTTTCCCCAATCTTAGAAAAAGAAACTGAACAAGCCAACAATAAACTTCCTAAGAAGAAATCCCCAGGGCCAGATAGATTCACTAGCGAATTTTACCAAACACTTAAAAATCAAGTAATCCCAATACTATACAAATTATTTGGAAAAATAGGTGAAGAAGGAGTCCTACCAAATTACTTTTATGACACAAATATGGTACTGATACCCAAACCAGGAAGAGCCAAAACAGAGAAAAAAAATTATAAACCAATTTCCCTAATGAATATTGATGCAAAATTTTTAAGTAAAATACTAGCAAAAAGAGATTATACCAATATAACACAAAGATCATACACTATAACCAGGTGGGATTTATACCAGAAATGCAGGGCTGGTTCAATATTAGGAAAACTATCAGTATAATTGACTGTATCAATAACAAAACCAACAGAAACCATATATCTCAACAGATGCAGAAAAAGCCTTTGGCAAAATACAACACCCATTCCTATCAAAAACACTAGAAAGCATAGGAATAAATGAAGCTTACCTTAAAATGATAAGTAATATTTATCTAAAACCATCAGCAAGCATTATCTGTAATAGGAATAAGCTAGAAGCCTTCCCAATACAATCAGAGGTGAAGCAAGGATACCTATTATCACCTCTATTGTACAATATCGTACTAGAAATGTTAGCTGTAGGAACAAGAAAAAGAAATTGAAGGAATTAGAATAGGCAATGAAGAAACAAAACTATCACTCTTTGCAGATGATATGATGTTATACTTAGAAAATTCTAGAGAATCAACTAAAAAAGTACTTAAAATTATTAACTTCAGTAAAGTTGCAGGATAAAAAATAACCTCATATAAATTATCAGCATTTCTACATATTAACAACAAAGTCCAGTAGCAAAAGATAGAAAGAGAAATTCCATTTAAAATAACTGTAGACAAGATAAAATACTTGGGAGTCTACCTGCCAACAGAAACCTAGGAACTATATAAACACAACTACAAAACACTTTTCACACAAATGAAGTCAGATCTAAATAACTGGAAAAACATTAATTGCTCATGGATAGGCCAAGCCAATATAATAAAAATGACAATTCCACCTAAATTAATCTATCTCTTCAGTGCCATACCAATCAAACTATCAAAAGTATTCTTTTATACAGCTAGAAAACAATAATAATTCATCTGGAAGAACAAAAGGTCAAGGATATCAAAGGAATCAATGAAAAAAATGTGAAGGAAGGCAATCTAGCCTTACCAGATCTCAAACTGTATTATAAAGCAGTAATTATCAAAACAATCTGGGGCAGCTAGGTGGCGCAGTGGACAGAGCTCCAGCCTTGGAGGCAGAAGGACCTGGGTTCAAATCCAACTTCAGACACTTGACACTTACTAGCTGTGTGACCCTGAGCCAGTCACTTAACCCCACTGCCTAGCCCAGAAAAAAGAAAAAAAAAAAACTATCTGATACTGGCTAAGAAATAGAGTGGTGGGTAAGTGGAATAGATTAGGTACAAATTACATTATATTAAGTGACCATAGTAAACTAGTACACGATAAAGTCAAAAATCTAAGCTTTTAGAACAAAAACTCATTATTTAATAAAACTGCTGGGAAAATTAGAAAAGCAGTATAGCAGAAACTAGGTATAAGCCAACATCTCACACAGTATACCAAGATAAAGTCAAAATGGGTATATGATTTACACATAAGAAAATTAGCAGAGCATGGAATAATTAATCTGTCAGATCTGTGGATACAATAAGAATTTATGACCAAATAAGAGATAAAGAGCATTACAAAATGTTAAAAAAAATAATTTTGATTATGTAAAATTAAAACGTTTTTATACAAACAAAACCAATACAAATAAAATTATAAGGAAAGCAGAAAGCTGGGGGGAAAAGTTGCAGCAAGTATCTCTGATATAGGCCTTATTTCTCAAATATATAGAGAACTGAGACTAATTTATAAAAATACAAATCATTCCCCAATTGATAAATGATCAAAGAATATGAATAGACAGTTTTCAGATGAAGAAATCAAAGCTATCTATATCACACCTATCAGATTAGCTAATAGGACAAAAAAGAAAAATGATGGGTTTGAGAGGATGGGGGAAAACTGGGACACTAATACATTGCTGGTGGAGGTGTGAACTGATCCAACCATTCTGGAAAGCAATTTGAAACTATGCCCAAAGGGCTATAAACTCTGCATACCGTTTGATTCAGCTGAATTGGGAAATGGCTAAACAAGCTGTGGTATATGATTGTAATGCAATATTATTGTGCTATAAGAAATGACAAGCAGGATGATTTCAGAAAAACCTGGAAAGACCTATATGAACTGATGCAAAGGGAACAGAACCAGAAGAACATTATACACAGTAACAGCAATATTGTTTGACGAACTGTGAATGATTTAGCTCTTCTCAGCAATACAATGATCCACGAAAATCCCAAAGGACTAATGATGAAGTATACTATCTGCCTCCAAAGAAAGAACTGATAGGTTGAATGCAGACCGAAGCATGCTATTTTTCACTTTCTTTCATTCTTTTTCTTTTATTGGAATCTTCTTATACAAAATGACTAATATGGAAATGTTTTATATGATTGCACATGTATAACCTATATGTGATTGCTTACTGTCTCAGGGACAGTGGAAGAGAAAGAGGAAGGGTAAAATTCAGAACCCAAAACTTTTTTAAAAAATGTTAAAAAATTGTTTTAACATGTAATTCGGGGGGGGGGGGATAAATAAATAACAATTAGAGTTGTTTGAAAGTGGAATGAGATACCTAGAAAGGTTCCCCCTTCCTTGGAAGTTTCCAAACAGTGGCTTAATGACCACATCAGGTATATTACAATGTGAGCCAGCCTCATTTCCTACCCTTTCCTAGTACACAACCTCTCACAGAATCTTAGAGCTATGACTCCAGAAGTCATCTATATAGTTCATCCTGTGATTGAATAGAATCCCTGACAAACAGTCATCCAGCCTTTGCTTATAGACTTCTCCTGATAAAGGAGGAAATCTACTACCTTCCAAGAGAGCTGCTGGGTCCTATTCTAGCCCACAATTATCTGCTAGGTCTTCTCATGGACATAAAACACATCAATGTACTAATACTAAAGTATTAAACAAAAGGTCCTGAGTCAGTCTCAAACATTTCAATGTACCTTCAGCATGATTTATAGGCCACTGCAGTGGTGTCAGACTCAAACAGAAACACACCCTGGTGGCTGTAAATATGCAGTCAATAGACTTAGAAAACCACAAATTAATATTATTTGTGTTGTACTGTGTTTTCATTTATTTTGATAAATATTTCCCAATTTTATTTTAATCTGATTCAGGCCTACCACTGTGGAAGTTTTGTGGGTATAGCCCAAGTTTGATATCTCTGGTCTAGAAAATAGCTTAGGAGACTTAAGTCTACTCAGGATATGAATTTGAGATATGAACAAACTTAAGAACCTGTGTGATTTGTATGAGCTCATAAAGTACCACCATCAGTCTGAAGCTAACTGTGCAAGGTAGAGTTTCAGAGTCCAATAAAAGCCCTAAGGTCTTATCCCTATAAGAACAGGTCCAAAGTCAGCTATGGGGTGTGTCAGATTGTCTCCTACAATTACAATGCTCAAGCATCTCACAGCATAGATCTGGAAGGGAAATAACAGAAAATGCCTTGCTTCCCCACTCATCACTTTCCCATGACCATTAGAAAGTGAGGGAAACTAACACATAGTCAGAGATGGGACCTTGCTTATACAATAAAGAAAAGTTAGGAAGTCATTTTTGTTAGCTGCAGGGAGGTTGAGAAACAGGGACAGGGTTAGAGAGTGGCACCTCTCCAGCACAAATTTTACTGTCCAAACAAAGACTTGCAGTTTTTCATTACCCTCCCATCTGAGGCCTCAACTGGTCATAAAGGACATCTTTCAAACCCCTTCAAATCTACTTTGTATATGAATGTCTTGTATATAGGCTCTTCCTCATTTTTCCTCCATAGTACAGAAATTAATTTACCACAGAGAGGCATTTACCACCAAAGAGGAATTAAAATTGGTAGGATTCTGTTCATCTTAATGAAAAATCCTGTGAAACTATAGAAATCCAGCAGTACATTTCACTTTTGGATAATTCTTCTAATCAATCAGGCAGGACTCCTTACCCTCTCTTAAGTATATTGATGCTGTCTTGATGTCTTTGCCAGTACTGTTACCCAGTATGGGAAAACTCTTTCCTTGTCCCCACCTATCTATTCTTCAAGTTCGAATTTCACAATGATGCTTTCTCTAACTACAGCATTCCACATTGACTTCTACCATCTTGGAAATCTAACTGTAGGAGAGTCAGTACCACAATATAGTTTTGTTTCCTCAGTTAGATAGATAGTAATGGTACACTGCACATCACTAGTGCTAAAAATAGTGCAAGAACAAAATAAATGCTTCTTGACTGATTATATGTAACTGTTCCCTTAGCAATCATGTCACATTTTCAAAGAATCCGATACTGGTCATTTTATCCCTAAATTGTGTGGCTGATAATTCCTTTTTGAGTAAATTCCCTGTTTGGAGAATTCTGCGACTGAATATACCTGCATTTGGTATAAAATGTATTTTCAAGTAAATTCACATCCCCTATTTGTGAAATGCTTACTAAACAGCACAAGTCAATCAAAAAAAGGATTTAAGTCATAATGATCCAATGAATAGGTAGAATAAACAAGATACCTACAGTTTTTTTCCCCTTAACTAGTTCTTTCAAGAATAGAAATTAAGTAATGAAATTTAACAGAAATTAAACATAAAACATTAATGATCAAAGAAAGGAAATACAATATGCCACCATGATATTTTGTCCAGTGTAAGAAACTTTGAGGTTTTATTTTTTTTTAAGTTTCGAATGTCCATTCACACCACAGCAATGCCAATACGCAAAATGTGTATTTACTTTATACAACACTATCATTTATGCCCCAAATTTTCAATTATAAAATGCCAATATGCTTAGATTAACTATGATAGATAGTATTTTAAACAAAAATAGGTTTGAGTTGGTGGAAGTTATGCAAAATGGGGCTTTGAACAAGTAACAAGCCTGAGTTCCACAGAGTTTTTCTGAAGAGCAATTATTTAAATCATCTGTGTTCTCCACTCCTCCAGAAGTAGGAAAGGCAATCAACTCAAGCTTAATATTACAATCTACATTCCATTTCAAAGTAATTCCTAACTACATTCAGTTTTTAGGACCTACTTTGGAACTTAACAGTAAAGAAAAAAATCAGACTGCACCACTCTGGGACCTAAAGTTAACCCACTTCTAATAATGCGACACAAATTGTTCCAACTTGGCAAAAAGGCCACCCTGACTTTGGCAAGCTTTAATCATTTGATTACTCTAAAACACCCACCGAAACCATAATTCTACAACTATGGTAAAGCAGCACAATGTACAGAAAATTCCCAAAGACTCTAGTTTTTAAAAAGCAGCCTATTCAAAGTAAACATTAATAAGATGTGTGTACGTTTTCAAAATTTTCATTACTTAATGCCTTATTTTTAAATTAAAAAAACCTTAAATTTGCCAGCATTTTACATATCCTAGACCATATATTTACAGATTTTTTGATTCCACAAGATTTTAAAGACATTAAATGGCACATAAAAATTCTAATACTGCCCCTCCCCTCAACTTTTTGAAATTTAATCTTTCAATAGCATTAACCAAGGTGCATTTTAATTGTCTCTGCCTACCTGACATATCTGAGTTTCTTCCAATCAAAATAACCCCGAGGATTTGTAAGAAACTAGCCAAATAAATCTGAAATTTTGGTACCTTTCGACATTTTAAACATAGCTACTTTAGTGTACTCATAATTAAGTCATGAAACCTTGGCTACTGGGAATCCATCTACAATTATATATAATTTTCAGATTATGCCAACTTCTAAATAACAGAGAAGACACCATCAAAAATGGCTCCTGTGACAGAAATTACAACTAGGAGCCAAGGAAAGAATAGGGGGCAGTATTTCAATACTCCCTCATGGCACGGAACATCCTGGGTTCTCAAAGGCTAAGCCAACAAAGTATACACTCTGGAAGGTTCTACCAGATTGAGTCCCCAAGACCGACTACATATGTTGTCTAAGGACAGAATGATGGGTTACAAGGTGACAAATCATTTGGCCACAGAAACTCAGCAATCAAAGAAAACATTTTAAATGGCCCTTGGTCCTGTGCGGCCCCTTTCTGCTTCCTGTGCAATCATGGTGGAGTGGCACAAAAGGAGGCAGAGGATAAGGACTTTTATTTATTCATCAGATAACTGAAATAATGAGCAGAAATGGTCCTGGGAAGCCCAAGACTCTTTAAAAGCACTTGGTATTTAACTAAGTTGAAGCATTACATTCATTTTAAAGATGAACCAAGAATAAGTCTTAGCAGTGGTTTCTACAACATTCAAATGCAACTTTCTTGAAATCAGTATCAGTAAAATGCAGCAGGATACTTTTGTTTAAGAAATAACATTCTAATCATTCTTCTAATACCTCATTAAGAGGTCTGATTCCTCATTAAGAAGATCCTTTTCCCCACCTGCAGTTTGATAGTATGTAATCCAAAAGTGGAACTGTGAAGCAGCTAATGGTGTTAAATATTCCTCACACTGTTATGTCACAAAGAAAATGAAATAAAAATTAATAAAATTCAAGAATAACAAGAAACAAATGACTGTCATTGCACTTAGATTTTCCAAGCATTTTTTTCCAAAGCCGATTTTTAAAAGATAGAAACCAAATAAATGTAATTACATTTCTTCAAAATGTGTTAACAAAATTAACTGCACTATTTATTTTTATTAACTCTTTTCCTTCTAATACATTAAAGCAATTGGCATATTCTTAGAGTTTCACAAACTAAACCATTTTCTTGAACATTTTTGCCTGAAACTTGCCCTAAGGTTAAATTTGCTAATATTTTTGACTCTATGCACATAGCTAAATCACATTTTTTTTTAAAGGGAAGCATATTAGATTAAGAGTTGTTTTATATGGCACTATACCTTTGAAGATACACAGAATATTCTTCTGGTAATTTAGTGACTTACAGAACTTGGAAATAAAGTGTTATGTTTGATTTGCATGTAATTATAGATATTTCTCTGTGCTGCATAAATACACACCACTAATAATACAATAAATGTGATTTGGCCCCTAGGATCATGAAATATAGTACTGTGGCATGACCAACAATCTATAAGGAATTGGGGGAATTAAAGAATATATTAGTTGAGTTCAAATTATCTTAATGGTTTTTTACTCCTTTGATAAAATTTCACCATTTTTTCATTCTTCACATTCTCATCTTGAACTCTTACACAAGAGATGACCTTTTCCACTTTTATTTTTTAAACTATGTTTTGGGATATAAAGATTTTAATGTGTTATATAAATAATATACGAGTAATGCTGTACATAGACAAACAGACCTCTCTGGGAAAAAAAAATACAAGTGCCATGTATCAGACCACTGAGGTTGTACTTTCAGGATTTACTCGAATAAGTCTAGATGCATTCCTCAAGTCTTGGAGTTGCTTGGCAGGTTTCCCTACACCTTGTTCAAACCTCTTCTCCACCACAGGGAGCACTGTTTCATATAGAAAGGAAGCATTTTGTCTGATAAAGGCTTTCTTTTCTGGGTCTTGTTCACATCGGAGACTGTAATCCACATGTTGAACTGCAACCAAAATTATTTCCACCAGACTCTCTAGAAGCACCATATGCAGCTCTGGAAAATACAACTTCAGAGCTTCTTCCAAGAAGCCCATAGTTTGTTTAGTGAAGGCCACTACTGTGTAGCTTAGGTTCACCCAGCAGTCATCCCCCGTGTACTGTTCAAAATTGCTCACCCCACAGCTTTTCATCTCTTCTTTGAGTTTCCCCAAGGCCTCTGGAGTCATCAAGTTCATCCTCCTCCACATTTCCTCAGAGTTTCGGTGCTTAGTGGCCTCAATTATGATTTCTTTATAACTGTGCAAAGCCCCTTGGATGTCCTTTACCAAGAGAGCATGGATGATGAAAGTAAGGTCTAACCCAATATCACCCAATTGCTGGCAATGTTCCTTAGCCACCTTTACACACTCAGCTGCTGTAGACAAGCTCTCTTTGCTGTCAAATACCTGCTTGCTAAAAGCATCCACAAACATGCCCATGGCTGAACGGGCCCAAACAATAAAGGCAGAGTAGCAACCACTGTTGGTGCCTGCAAAATCGGTTTCAAACTCCCTAGCAGTCTCAAGGAGGCTGGTGAAGAACACATGACATAACTTATGAATATAGAGTAAAGTGGCACCTTCAATTCGAAGCTGTCTAATGGCAGTATGCACAGCTGCTGCCCTATTTCTCAAAAACAGTTCACAAGCCTTGGTACATTGGCCAAGTCGTATTAACTGAGAAACTGCCCTTCGAGTGGCTTTAGGGCCACCTCTTAGAGAGCGATCCGGGGAAAGTTCAAAGACTAGCACTTCAGTGAGTTGCCTGACTCGCTCATCCACTTTGGCCTTCAGTTCCTTTACAGGAGGTGGGCACGGCTTGCCCTCCAGATAGTGGTTTAATTTATCCAACAAGTCCACTGCCCCTTCAAAGTCCCTCTGGGCAATACAGACATCCAGGTCCTCCGGCAACTCCTGGATCCATTCCATTGATAAGTCCACTTTCTCCTCAACCTCCGGAGAAGTAGGCTCCTCCTCTTCTTCATCATCCTCAAACGGGTTTGTGGCCTGGGAAGAAACATGGGGTGGGCCCCGCGGAGCTGCCGCCTCCTCCTGTTCCCTCCGTCTCTTTTCACTGAGAGCCCTTTTGGTTTCCTCCAGCACTTCCAGCCACTCCCTTTTGATCTTGGCATTCTCCGCCTGAAAGATGCGGCTCTCGGGGAACATCAGCAGCTTGAACATGTCCTTCATGGGCGGGTTATCCTTGACATTCACCACCGCCAGTCGGTCCAGGGGGTACAGGGCATTGTAGCGATACATCCCCCTGCGCTGGGGCAGCCAAGTGGCCACCAGCAGGCAGTCGTTCATGAGAAAACCATGCACCCGCTGCAGCTGAGCCATGTGGTCCGCCTCATACTCCACCAGGTCTCCGTTGTAGACCAGGTACTGCCCGGGGGTCTCCAGCAGGTGCCTGCAGCCCTCCACTTTCTCCAGCAAGGTGGTCAGCGTGCGCTGCTTGCCCTCCTCGCCCGCACTCTGGCTGTCCCGGGCGGCGCCCCCGTGGCCGGGGAAGAAGCCGGCGGGGCCGCGGAGGTGGTCTCGGCCTCCGGGTCCGCCGGCGCCGCCTTCTTCGGCCCCGGCGGCGGCGGCTCCCGCGGCGGCGGCGGCGGCGGGGAGCAGGGTGAGCGGGATGCTCTCGAGGCTGCTCTTCTGCTCCGTGAGCAGGTGGCTGAGCTGGTACATCTCGCTCTCCAGGTAGGAGATCTCGCGCGCCGTCTCGATGAACTGCCGGTAGTTCTGGTACACATTGCGCTTCAGGTTCTGCGCCGTTTCCTCGGCCAGCGCCTGGATCCGCTGCCGGTGCTCCTGCAGGTCCCGGTCCCCGTCCGACTGCTGCGACAGCTGCTTCACGTACAGCCGCGCCTCGAAACCGCTCGACTCCAGCTGCCGCCGCAGGCGGCTTGCCCCGCTGTCCGACATCGCCATGGCCATCGCTTCCCCCGTCACTGTCACGGTCTCCGCAGCCGCCGAGACCCACCCAACTCCGACGGAGTTCAGGGACCGGGGAAGAAGGGCGGAAGCGAAGTGAATGCGCCTGCGCGGGAGGAGTCAGCCGGTGCTTGCGGCCAATGACAACGCATGCGCGACGAGGGCGGGCTAAAGGAACGTAAGGAAAATGAAGCCACTTGGCTGCTGCGCCTGTGCAAAAAAACAAACAAACAAACAAAAAAACCACTTAAGACTAAGAGAGGAGGAAGAGGAGGAGGAGGAGGCTGAGAAACTCCTTTTCCGGTCCTTTGGGCTCTGACTATTGAGCCCTTCTAGTGCCGGAAGTTGATTGTTTTGTCACCTCCGCCTTTTCTTGTACTCTCGCGAGATCAGTTTTAGTTTCCGTTTCCGACAAGCTGATTCGAAACACTGTGGTTCCCGCAGTAGGAATGCCGAGGTGGCGGACCTGTGTGTGAGGTTGCAACTTTCTGTTTTCTCGGTTCCCTCCCCCCCGAGTTCCTTCCTGCTGTCATGGCCGCGGTGGAAGAGGACTTTGCGCTGGCCCTGAAGCTGCAGGAGGAGTGGAACACGGAGGTCCCGGCGTTGGTCCCGCCCCCGAAGGAGCCCAAGTCGCTGGTGGACGAGGCTTGGGAGCTCGTGGACCCCAACCCCGATCTCCGAGCGCTGTTCGTGCAGTTCAACAAGCTGTATTTCTGGGGGCGGCTGGGGGCGGTGGAGGTGAAGTGGAGTTTTCGAATGACGCTGTAAGTAAATCCCCTGCCTTGCTGTGGGGTCGGGGGGAGGGGGGACTCCAGAAGCCCGGGCTGCCCCGCCTGGGGGCGGTAACTGCGGCCCCCTGGCTCCCAGCGCGGAGCCGTCCGTGGCCAGCTTGTTTGCACAGACCCAGATTTCTTCCTGCAGTGATAAGCCAAAAATCAGTTCTGCCCTCTTGTCATTTTATCTCTCTCTTCTTCCTCTGTGCTTTTGGATGCCGTGCATTGGGCCGGAATATCTAAGGAGTTTCGTAATTTTGAACCTTTCTTGGACTGAAGCAAAATCTCATTGAGAAGATATGTATCTATTAGCATCCCTACTGCTTGAATCAAATAATAGTGTCCTTAGTGTTTACAAATGCATCACTTCTTACTTATGCTTCAGTAGTAAGAATTATGTTTTAATCTCTCTTACTGCTGCAGAGCCCTCCAGACGTTGATAGGGATGAGCTTCTGTGATCCTCTCCCCCTTCTAATTCTCTTCTCTCCCCACCCCCCAACACTCAAAAATCACCACCAGGTGATCAGTTCTCTATCATAATGATTGGATTTAGAGTTTGAAGGGACTTCGGAAGTCATCTAATTCAACTTGGAATCACAGGACCTGAATTTAGTTGCCATCTCTGCCAGTTGATACATGTTTGACCTTGGGCAAGTCATTTAATCCTTCCTCGAACTCAGTTTCTTTATCTGTTAATTGAAAGGGTTTCTTCCATCCATGCCTTATTTTCCTTTGGGAAGGATAATGAGTTCTGTTTTAAACATGTTGAGTTTGAGGTATCTCAGGAGCATACTGTTTGAAATGTCCAGTAGGCACTTGGTCATGTGGAGTTGAAGCTCCAGGGAGAGCCTTGGGCTGGATCTCTGCAACTTCGAGGCCTCTGCATAGAGTTGATAGTTTGAAAGCTGTGGAGGGTAACCAAGAAAGAATGTGTAGAGAAATGAGAGGTCTAGGAGACCCCCATAGTTACAAGGTATAATGTAGGTGATCAACTAGTAAGAGAATGGGAAGTAGCTGTTTACATGTAGGAGAACCAGGGGAAAGTAGTATCACAGAAACATAGAGAAAAGAGTGTCCAGAAAGTGCCCTTTTATGTGAGAAAATTTTTCCCATTCTACCTTTCCTGTCCTCCTCCTTCCAGTGTATCCCCCTTTCTCACCACCACCACCACCGCCCCTTTTTTAAAAAATCATCTCAGTGTATTTGATTTAGACTTTATGCCCTCTGTAGATTTTAACTACCCTAATGATGGCGAAGTTCTTAGGAGTCACATGTTTCATCTTCCCATATAAGAATGTAAACAGTTTAACTTTACTGTGCCCTTTATGATTACTGTTTAATGTGTACCATTTTATTCTTCTCTTGTGTCATGTGTTTAAATGTCAGGTTTTCTATTGATCCTTATTATTTTTATCAGGGATGCTTGAAAGCCCTCCATTTCATTAAGTAGCTTTTTTTTTTTTCCTTTGAAGGATTATGCTAAGTTTTGCTGGGTAGGTTATTCTTCTTGTTTATAATTCTAATCCCTTTCCCTTCCAGAATATCATATTCCAAGCCCTCCTCTTCTTTAACATGGAAGCTGCTAAATCTTGTATGATCCTAACTGTGTTTCCATAGTATTTCAGTGGTTTCTTTCTGGCTGCTTGAAGTATTTTAGATTTTGTTCTGGGAGCTCAGGAATTTGGCTATACTATTCCAGGGAGGTTTCATTTTGGGGTTTCTTTGGGTAGACTCTTTCAGTTTCTAATTTGCTGGTGGAACTAAGATTTCCTTGATAATTTCTTAAAATTTGATGTCTAGATCCCTTTTTTGATGATGTCTTCCAGGTAGTCCAATAATTCTTAAATTATCTCTTCTTATTCTACTTTCCAGGTCAGTTGTTTTTTCAAGTTAGGGAGTTTACATTTTCTTCTATTTTTTTGTTTCATTTTTTTGACTTTGTTGTTTCTTGATGTCTCATGGAGTCCTTAGCTTCCACTTGCCCAATTCTGATTTCTAAGGAATGATTTTCTTCAGTGAGTTTTTGCACCTCTTTTTCCATTTGGCAAATTCTGCTTTTTAAGGAGTTCTTTTTTTCTGTGAATTTTTGTGCTGATTTTACCATTAGACCAATTAGATTTTTTAAGGTATCTTCAGTATTTTTTGTGCCTCTTTTACCAAGATGTTAATTCCCTTTTCATAATTTTCTTGCATCACTGTCATTTCTTTTCCCAATTTTTTCTCCACCACTTGTATCTGTTTCTTTAATGCTTTCAGGACTTATTATTGGACTTGGGTCCAGTTAGCATTTTTTTTTTAATTAGACTTTGCTTTGTAGCTGTTGTATTCTTCTGAGATTGTATCTTGGTCTTCTCTGCCACTGTAATAACTTTTTATAGTCAGGTTCTTTTTTTGTTGTTGTTTGCTCCTTTTCCCTGTCTTTTTCTTAACTTTGCACTTTGTTTAAGTTGGGCTTTGCTCACCTGGGGGCGGGGAGGCCCTGTTTCAAGCTTCAAGCTTTTTTGTGCTGCTGTTTTCAGAATTAGTTCTAGGGTTTTGCAGGTTTTCAGTGCTTTCCCAGGTGATGGTGATTTGTGATGAGGCATGGTCCCACTCTCCTGGTCTACTTCCAAGGCCTATTGCTTATGCTGCCGCTGCCGGCACTGTATTCTGAGCTAGCTCCCACCCCAGTGTCACAGACCTCTCCTGCTGACCTGCTAAGTCATCTTAGGCCAGAAAAATGTGTCACTCTGACCTTTTGTTGGCCGCTCCAAAGTGTGATTTGAGTTATTTTATATCAGTTCTGCCACTTGTTTTATTGGATTGTCTAATCCATTTATAACTAAGGTTATGAAAGTTAGGTATATGTTGTACTCCATTTCTGTATATTGCTTTATTTTGAAATATTTTGTTCTCTTTTTAAGTTCTCTTAAGCTAGGACTCTGTCCCTAGGATTAACTTTGCTTAAACCATTTTTATGCAACCCTTTCTCTTCAAAATGATAGTACTAAAACACAGATTTGACCATATCACTTTACTACATGAGAAGTTTCTCTTGCTCCTTATTGCCACCAGTGTAAACTATAGACTCGTCTTTTCTTCAATTAAAACCCTTCACTGTCTGATGCAAGCCTGTCTTTCCAGACTGATTACACATTAGGCCTTTACATGGATTCTCTTGTCACAGTCAGATTGGCCTACTTGCCATTCCCCATACATCCTCATCCCCTTACCATCTGATCCTGTGCTCTGCCTCTGGGGGCTCTGGGTTTAGTAGATGAACTTTCACCTTATTTGGGGCACAAGGGCAGAAGCAGACCTTTACTTCACTCCCCCTCACCTTGTCTTTATCCTTTACAATGTAAACTCCGTGATCACAAAGTACTATCGCTTGTATTTGTATCCCTAGTATTTAGCACTATCCCTGGCTTATAATAAGTAAGCTCTTTTAATAAATGCTTTTTTACTCATTCACGATATTCCTTCTCCTGTCTGACTCTTTTCTTCAGGCTCCACTGTCCCCTGTCTCTGGTATGCTTTCCCTCCTCATCTCTGCCTCTTAGAACACAGAGCTCCCTTCAAGGCTCTCAGCTCAAGTGCCACCTTCAGTAATAACTCTTTCATGATTCTGGAATTGTTAGTTGCTCGCCTCAAATTACTTTGTATTTATTTTGTATATATTTCTGTGTACATGTTGTTTCCCTCCAGTGGAATGTAAGCTCCTTGAGAAGAACAGACTTTTTTATTCACATACAGTTCCTGGCTTATATAGTAATCACTTAAATAATGCACATAATGCTTGAATAATTTACTCACTCAGGAACTAGAATGGGACTTTGAAGGACCAGGAACTGTTGCCTTATTTTTGTCTTTCATGGGTTGCCATGGCACAGAATTTATCACCAAATGGCTGACCCACTGGAGAAGAACAAATTGGGCCCTAGGCTCCTCCTCAGAAAGGGTGGCATAAGCAGTCTGTTCCTTTGACTGTGCTGGAACACTTTCTGTCATGGTAGAAATTGTCACTATGCTTCACTGGCACAGACTTCAAGAACCTAGGGTCACTTCCCTCTCTATGAGGCATTGAGTAGAACTTTATCAAAAAGCTACTGTGAATTCAGGAATGCTTTAAAATTTATGTTTCATTAATCACAAAAACACCTACATAAATTTGAAATAGTAATATAACATGTATGAGACATTCATTCTACAAAAGAAATGTTTATTTATAAGCTTGAGGACAATTTACAATAAGTCTATGGCCCCCAGTTGGGAACTATTTATCTTGACTAATTCCCTCTTACAGGTAAGGAAGCTGAGGCCAAT